GGTTTCTGCGAAGCTTCCTTCGGATCGGTTATTCCGTTCGGCGGGAGAAGGGGTGCAGAAGCATGGAGAATCGATACCAGGGTATTCACTAGAGGGCGGGAACAGGAGGGTGGATTTAGAGAGCAGGGGAAGTGTGCAGGAGGGCAGGAGAGAAGGGAGGGAGGAGGAGGGCAGGGGAATAGGAGGGCAGGAGGAGAGGGGAAGCAGGAACGAGGGCAGGGAGAAAGAGCGGGTGTTTCTACCTGCCAATGCAACGGATGGAGAGGTGCAGAGGAGTTTGGGAGGGTTGGAATCGGTGAGAGTTCTTCATCTGGCCGATGCTGCTCACTCCTTCTGCCGGTGAGAAAGAGAAAATCGGGGGAGAGAGGGAAGAAGGTGGGGGGGAAGGGAAGAAGGTGGGGTGGGGAGGGAAGGGAAGAGGGGGATGAAGTGGGAGGATGTGGGAGCACCCTGTCAGATGCTTCATCTGGCCAATGCTGCTCACTCGACTCGGCTCATTACTCAGCTTTGTGTTTGCTCATTCCTTCTTTTTACCCTGGTTACCTGCAGGCACGTTGCCGCAGATGGACTGAATTCATTCGACAGGCTCACTCAAGCCTTTTTCACTCTCGACTGGTGCTGCTCCCCCCAGCACGAGACACGCAAATTCAAAATCGAGCCGCTCGCAAATGTTACGTTTGCATCCTGTAACCGATTCGATGTACGATGATTACAGCAATCAATATCTCTTCTATGGAAAATTGTTCTCCATTCTTGTCCGTGCATTGCACTAATGAATCGGTATGCATGCACGAAAAGATGTCTGCTGTGGTGTTGTGCGATGCGGCAGGGTGTGATGCGATGCGGTGCAAGGTGATAGGGTTGTGGGATGGATAATGCAAGGGTAAGAATGAAATGGAACTGTTGAGTAAACTCTCTCGGGTCAGTCTTCTTTTGCGCTTGAACTAGGGGGACTTCAATTTTTGTAGCACAGCACCGCGTGGTATTCAGGTCGCAGTTGGTAAACCATCAACAGAACAACCAGTTACGGTATCTGGATTCATTTACCGGTACCGTATGTCGAAGTACGGTACGGTAGGTGTGAAGAATGGTTCGAATTCTTTCCACCACCACACAACTGTTTCACAATTCAGGTGGTTCTACCATGCCCTACAGCACTTGTTACACCTACCATACCTACAACCTACGCTAGGCAAAACAGGCACCCGCTTAATTACAGCCTGATGTAACCACATCGCCTCAACCAGTGCCCACTGCCCAGTGCCCATACTTCAGAAGACAAAACCCATTTGGATCTCCATCCCATCTCCAATCATGCTTACTCCCCTGTGGCACCAGATAGCAGATTGTCACAGATGTCTCGACGAGTAAAGAAAACCTTCTTTCTTCCACAGACAGGGAAACCTTTTCATAAACACCCCTACCCCCCACCCTCCCTCCTCTTAGGCACAAGCAGTCTCTGTAGCGACCATACGAGTGACTCCGTAATCGCGTGCCCCACCTCCCCTGTGATCTCGCTTTCATACTCGCACGTATAGTGCGGGTTGAAATACGCACACGAGTCTAAGTACCGCGGTGCTGCCACATGCCATAGATCCACAAACGCGATCCCTTCCCTCTCTGCCAGCTTCCTAGCCAGTTGATTGGCAAAGGCTATTCCCTGGTTAGTTCTGCCATTGCACAGGTTTTTAGAGAAGCCCGTCGGGAAGGGAGGGGCCGACATAAAGAGAACCGAGCGAATCGGGCGTCCTCGGGTGGCTGTACTTGTGCTCAAACCTCTCACACTGCTGCTGCCTCCGCTGCTGCTGTTACTGCTGCTGCTGCTGCTGCTGCTGCTGCTGCTGCTGCTGCTGCTGCTGTTGTTGCTGCTGCTGTTCCCCCCACTACCGCTGCTCCCACCGCTGCTGCTGTTGCTCCAGCTCTCATTCCTGACAGTCTTGAGCCAGTCTAGAAACGCAGGGAGGCCCCTTGCGTATGCAACCTCAGGCTCGGTGCAGAAGGTAAAGCTCCAGTGCGCGCTGTTGGCCAGTAGCACATCTGGTGTGGGGCTGATTTCCGGGAATGCTGTGTCTCTCCCAGAGTACTTGCCCCGGTTGCTGCGGGGGGAAGGACGGGGAGAAGGGGGTATAAGGGGGGGAGGAGAAGGGGGGGAGACAGGCAGAGAAAAGGGGAGATGGGCAGAGAAGGGAGAGAGGTGAAGGGGTGAGTCACGGGTAGAGAAGCGAGTGTCGAAAGGGGGGAGAGTGTCGAAAGGCGATTGTGGAGGCGCCTTAGAAACCAAGTCACTTACAGGCATCCGTCTCGCCCGTTGACGTACAGCCCATCCACCCAGTAATACCGAATCTCCATCCATCGCTCCTCCGTCCCCTTCCACCTCTCCTCCGCCGCCCCCTTCCCCCGTTTCCCCTTCCCCCTCCTCGCTGCCAGCTCAGCGCTACGCGCCAGCTCAGCGTTCCGCGCCACGTCATCGTACGCCGGGTGGACAACGCTGCCCACGGAATCGTGGCACGCGCGGATCAGCCCGGAAGACGAGATCAGCGAGCACATCTGCCCGTGAAGGTTCCGCCGAAACACCAGAAACGACTGCCCGCCCAGCGTCCCATTTGTCCCATTCGTCCCATTCAACCCATTCTCCCCATTCGTCCCATTCTCCACATTCTCCCCAATCTTCCACCTCTCGTCCCGCAGCAGAGAATACGTGAGGTCGAAGAACAGGTTGCGCATGTGCGAGTCCCCCACCAGCGCAAACCGAGTCGAAATGCCCACCCCCGGAATCCCAGAATCCGCCTCCCCACGCTCCATCCTCCCCTCCTCTTCCTCCCCCCCATCCATCCCGGTCCCTCCACTTATCCCACCACCGCCATCACTACCGCCATCACCCTTGGCTGCAATGGCCTCCTCTTCTAGTGCAGGGCCGAGCGCAATGAGCAGGTCTCGCAGCAGCTGCTTCTTGCTCTCGCACGCAAACGGGCCCTTCTCCTCGCAGCTTTCCTCCCCGCCGCTGCCCGTGAGCCTTCGCCGCACAGGAACAAGCTCGCCTTCACCCTCACTCGTCGTTGCTGTGAGTGAAACATCAGCCCCTTGAGTCGACTCAAAGCTCTCCTCGTCGTCACCCGTAAGCCTTCGCCGCACTGCCACGAGCTCGCTTGCCTCTTGAGTTGACTCAAAAGCCTCCTCGTCACCCGTGAGCCTTCGCCGCACAGGCACGAGCTCCGTCCTGCTCTCACTCGCTGCCGCCACCGCCTCCGCCGCCGTCGTTGTCGTTGTGTGTGGAATACCAGCAGCAGCAGCGGCAGAATCAGCATCCAAGAGTTTCCTCGACCGCCCACCAGAAGCAGCGGCGGCGGCAGCAGCAGCAGCAGCAGCAGCTGCTGCCTTGCGCGCTCGTCTCTCCGTTGCTCGGAGCATGTTCCTGCTTCCCACGAGCGCCACTGACATGGCTGCACACGGGTAGGAGGTCCATCTGGGAAGCGGGAAAATGGGGAGAGAGAGGGGGGAAGGAATGTGAGAAGCAGGGGGACAGTAGGATAGGTAGACCGCAGACGGACAGACAGCAGGGGAGCATGTTTCTGCTGCCCACGAGCGCCACTGACATGGCCGCACACGTGTAGGAGGCCCATCTGAAACGAGGAAGCGAACGAGCAAACTCAGGAGCAAAGTGAGAAGCAGCAACGAGAAAAGGCGCGGGGGGGGACTGGGGACGGATGGACCAACAGACAGGCAGACAGAGACCGACAGACCGACACCAGCTGCGCACGCTCCTGCTGCCTACAATAAACGCGAAAACCTCCTCACCACGCTAAGAGCGTGGAACATCCTTTTGAACAAGGCAGTGGTCGCCCCAATGCGACAGTAACCCCATTTGCGATTCTCGTCATTCTGACTCGTAGGGGAGTGACGAAGGCCGAAAGATGCACGCATGTTCCACAGCTTTTGTGCTTCGCTCGCCCCACACGTACAGAAACGACAAAAAGTGGTGAAGTAAAAGGGACTTGCAAAGTGCAACCAAGTGCTGTCCTGGGTGAAATAAACGCATCCAATTTCCTGCGAAACATATGACGAAATCTTCATCTCAAATCGCGAATCCTCGCTGAAGGTCGACCAAAGCCCCTTCCTAGATCCTTAAAGCCATTCACGATTCGCAATGTGTGGTGTTGTGTGTCACCTAACGAAAACCATCGCAAACAAGTGGCGAAACCAAATGTTCGATCAAACAAGTGACCAAACGCTTGTTCATAAGGATGTTCCACGCTCTAAAGCCCTACAAAGCCGCACAAAGCGCCTCCGAACCGAACGAAGCCCCACCCCACTCACTCGTACGATCCCTTGGGTCGTCTCAAGCAGCTGGCAATGAAGAACAAAAACCACTTTGCACCGCACTCAAACCCACCCAACTCACTTGTACGATCCGTTGGGTCGTCTCAACCAGCGTGCGAACGTGCCCACGGAGCAGGGCGACGGAATCGCCGCCACCTCAAACCCCACGTCGCCCGCCCACTCCGCACCGGCGCCCGCGCCCGCGACCGCGCCCGCGACCACTCCCGCTCCTGCCCCTGCGCCGCCCGCTTCCGCGCCCGCCTCTGCGCCCGCCCCTGCGCCGGAACGGCGCGCGGAAGCGGGGGAGGAGGGGCCGGAGACGGGGGACGGGGGAGTGGCGGGGGAGGCGGGGGGGGAGGCGGCGGGGAGGACGTGCACGCGGAAGTAGCGCACCTCCCCCGGACCCGGCGGGGTATCATAGCGCGAACCGACGGCGCTGTCGTGCGTGCAGTCCGCGCGCACGATGCCCCTGTTATTCGGGGCGATTGCGAGCAAAAAACCAAAGAAAGCATGAAGAATAAGGAGGCGGAAAAGGAGGAAGTTACTCAACTCGTACGATGTAACAGAACGAAAACAAGCCCCCGCACTTGGCAGCAGTCACGTAGCATACCTACAGTCCCACACCTTGTTTAGGGTTTAGGCAAATCCCCCCCCGGCACAAGTCACACACCCCCCTGCACAGGTCACAGAACCCCCCCGCGCAAGTCACACACTCCCCCCGCCCCACAAGTCACACCCCCCACGCACCTGTATTCGCCCACGTCCCAGACCAGCACGGAAAGCTGCAGCAGCGGCCCGTTCGGCGTCGCCGTCTGCGAAACCAGCGAAGCGTGCTGCAGCGACGGGCCGTATAGGGTTACCATCACGTCCGCCAGGAGCACTTCCGTGTGCGGCAGCAGCAGCCGCTCCAGCTCCTGAATCTCGTCGTCGAACCGTAACGCCATCGCGGATTTCGCCGCGGGTTTCGCCGCGGGGTTCGCCGCGGGTTTCGCCGAGGGTTTCGCAACCTCCTTCTCCACGTCCCCCATCGCGTCATTTGTCCCGTTAAGAGCGTCCTTCGGTACAAGCAGCAGGAGCGAGCAGGGGACGCCGGCGTAGCACACGTGCGGGCGCTGGTTGTTTAACTGAGCCCAGTCGTACTTGTCTATTATCAAATAATCCTTGCGCGCCCGAAGTTTCACGGGCGCGGGGGGCTTGAACGGACGGGGAGCGGCGGGGGAGCTGGCGCGGGGTTAAGAGGGAGGGGGTTTGAGGTGGGGGGAGGGAGGGGGGAGCAAAAGAAGAGGGAGGGTTGGGGGGATGGGAGGGTGGGGAGGAAACGGAGAGGAGGGGAGAGGCGGGTTGAGTGGAAGAAAAAGAAACGCGTGTTCGTCTGCGCATGTGCGCGCGTTAAGAGAGAGGCGAGAAACGGAGAGCGGAACGAGCTAGAGCCAGAGAGAGGGGGAGGGGGGACAGGGGGATGGGGGACGGGAGGCGGGGTGGAAGAGTCCGGGTGGGGGGATGGGGTTTGAGGAAGAGAGAGAAATGGGAGGGGGAGGGAGGGGGAAGGTAGGTGATTCAGCGAGAATGCACACTGCAAAAGCACCTTGCGCCGAACCACCTTGCGCCGAACCACCTTGCGCCGAACCCACTTGCGCCGAACTACCTTGTGGTTTTCACGCTGCCGTTGACTCTGCGCTCCCCCGCCTTCGCTAAGATCCGGTTCGTTACAAGCACTTCTGCCTCCCGGCCACCCTGCACGCACGCCGGGCATTGAAACAGCACGCAGCGGAAACGAACGAACGACGCGCAGCGGAAACGAACGAACGAACGGAACGGCACGCAGCGACGGGCAAGCGCGGGGGCGGAAGAGGAATCAAATAATGAGGTAGACGGGAACGAGAAACGAACAGCAGGCAGATGAGAAACGAGAAGCGAGAAGGCCTAGAGTGAGGGAGGGAGGGGAAGGGGGAGGGGGAGGGAAGGGGAAGGGGGCGAATGGGAGAGAGGAGAAAGGGGACTGGAAAGGGGGAAGGGGGGATTATGGCAGCAGCGCGCATGACCAGAAGCTTCCTTGTGACGCGCTTGCGAGTCCGCGGAGTGCGACGAAGCGTGCGACGCGTGCGGCGATGCGTGCGACGCGTGCGGCGATGCGTGCGATGCGTGCAGTGATGCATGCGTTGCGTGCGAGTGCGCGTATATCTGCGCAGTGGGGGACCAGCGTGATTACAACCTTTGAGCTGCTACTCCCGTGCCCAATGCGGAAAGTGCGACGCATACGATGCGATGCGAAGTGCGATGCGTGCGATGAGTGCGACGCGGGTACGCCGCGGAAACAGCGACCACTGCGGCGACAGCGTGCAATGCAGAGCGCGCCGCTATAAGGAGCTGCAATTCGAAGAGACCAGCTATGATACGCACTACTCAAGAGGTTCAGATTGCGGCTCGAGAGGTTAGCTTCCGGAATACAATGCGGCGACAGCGTGTGAAATAGCGGCCATGGCGTGTGCAATTGCGGCGGCGCCTCACCTGGAACATGCCGAACGTGACCAGCGACGCCACTGTCAGCGCGAGTGCCGCGATAAAGAGCCGATTCGATAAAAGCGACATCACGGCGTCCACTGTACACCTCGCGGAACCCGCTCTCGGCATGGCTAGCTTCGCAGAGATCTTCGTAGCGTCGCCGGGCCCGTCGCCGGCCGTCGTCGCCTGTGCAACATTCCTGTCGCGTACGTGATTCGGCGACGATGGCATGGCTTCTAGCGACGAGAACGCGTCTTGTACTCGCGGGGCCATACTGACTTGAGGCGAGCGGGGTTGCGGAGTCGAGGAGTAGTTAGAGCGGCATAAGGGACTCATGCATGTGATCGTAGCTCGTGGAATAAACGGGCTTCTCTGAGAAAGAGGTTCTTAATAGTGCTACTTGTAGCGAAGGGAGGAGGATCCACGAATTGCTGGTGGCGGAATGCGATTAGGCGGAGAAAGTGTAAGGTCGCGACTCGGTGCAAGAGCAGCTCCTGTATCGAACTGAGGCTTCGAGAAGAGTGTAGAAGGAACAACGCGCGTATGCCAGTGATACACTGAGGCGAGGAGACGGCACACGCGCTGTTTCTGTGTGGATCGAGTCGATTCAGCACTGAGACGCTGAGGCACTGAGACGCGGCGCTGAGACGCTGAGACGCTGAGACGCTGAGAAGCTGAGAAGCTGAGAAACTGAGACGCTGTGACAAGGAACTGGTGCTTGTAAAAGGTGCTTCCCTCCCCGAGCACGACTGTCCGTTATTAGAGTTCGGCACAACTCTCCCGACTACTAGCTTCGGCTTGTCACATCACAACTCTCGAGGAGATGAACCAGCGTACAGTACGCTAGCACTTCTTGAAACAAATTAAACCTGGCGAGGTAAGGTGAAGGTCGATATGCTTTTGTGCCTTACGGTCGCGGAAACTCTGGCTCGTTGGTTATGGTTCTCCACTGAATGTCTTGTCTCTCTCCTCTCCTATGCTCTGATTCCTGTTCGTTCTCCCTTCGATCCAGTTGTGTGTGTTTAGTGCATTCCTATCTTCCAATCAAGGCTGACGGTTGTGTTCCAGAAAACACATTGGTGTGGTGGGCACTGCCTTCCCTCCCGTCGGATTGGTTGAGCTTGACCCTCCCCCACCACAGACAAGCGCAAACCTCGATGGTATTGGACGAGATAAATCCGACGGCAGAAAATACCACACACAGAAAAATCCGAGGTCGGAAAGCGAAAGCACGGAGGCGTTGTCGGGGCCTGGCTTGGGGCGTGGGGGGAAGCCCTTCAAAGCAGCTTGGGAGGGGGGTAGGGTGAAAGGGGATGGGGGGAGGTAAGGGAGAGGAAGGAGCGGGAGAGAGGGGGAGGGGTACACCCCAAACGGGGGAGGCGGATTGTGTTGCAAAAGGCCCGTTCTGACGAATCGGCTCGGGACGCGGTGTTTCTGGGGCAGAAGTGTCCGATGAGAAAAGTAGTGAACTGATGGTTTCAGAAGTTTTGAAAACAGTTGTAGGCGTTAAACCGTGGTTTATTTTTATGTGTCAGACCGACAATGCGCACGCGCCTCGGCCTCAGTCTCGTTCACAATCGCGAATCGCGATGGTGTTTCCTCCACGCGTCTGCCCTCTGACAGCGCTGGTCACGGGGTTATTCCATTCCATGATCGCATTGCTTGCGCGGAGCGACAGGTGCGATGTACGCTGTACGATACACCTCTTCTCTCCACGGCCACCGCGACGAGAGTCGCGAGACGACCATTGATTGGTCCATCACTCAGCGCCAAGTGCCGAGGCAGGTTTCGTGGTGTGGTGGATTGACCAGTAAGGGAGGGCTATCGGTTCAGGGGGAAACAACTGGAATTTTGGTACACTCCGTATATTTCACGCTACTAATCGGTTTCTAGTTATTGGTATAGAAATTGCTACTAATCCCACATTTACATGCTATTAGAAGTTGCTATTAGAAGTCACATGTGCGGAGCATATTGTTACGAATAGTAATATTACTGTGCACTCCTCACCGCAGCAAAGAGAAGCACGCAGTATCGAGAACGAACGCGAAGAGTCAGACGGTTGGAATCGACTCGAAGCGTCAGACGGTTACAGCACATCTGGACCGTCGGAGCAGACGGCATCGGGCAGCTGCAGGCAGGATGGTTTCGGCGGGAACAGGTTCATAACTGTTCGCGCCGCACGGTTGGGAATGTGTTTGAATAAGGGAATGTACCCCTTAGAGTACATGGCTAGCTAGGTCGTTTCGTCTTCCCTGTACTCATATTTATATTTGCTGTATTTGCATGTTTTAATTCATCTCAAGCATTTTACATTCACTCTTCTATTGATGTCAAGGGCCCACCAACATCATTCTACTTCGTGCGAACCTTCCTGAGTAGATCCTGGTGGCGATCAACTTCTGATCGCAGCATGGTATGAGAGCGGCTCGGGAATCCTTCGCACTGCCACTCCCGAAAATTACGACATTCGGAAAGTGGCGTCCGGCACACGCCCGCGTGTGAAGATGGCCGGAGGATCTGGTGGTCTGACGGCTGAAGCGCAACCCAATCCGGCTGCAACAAGCGAGAACACAACGACGATCGGCACCGAAGTCCTCGCACAACTTCTTCAGCGACTCACCAGCTTGGAGCAAGGACTCCAAACATTGCGGAACGGCGACGCGGGAACATCCTCGCAACCGTCTCAATCGGCCCCAACTGGGCAGAACGCCGTCCCGCAAACCTTCTCCCTCGACATAAATGGCTCAACTTCCAAAGCTCCCCGTCCCAGTGAAGAGGCAATTCTCTCCGCTCAATCAAAGTTTCTGAGCATATCAAAAATAAAGACAAGTACCTGTTTTGACGGCAGAGACTTCTATACCTGGAGCTTCGAATTGGAGCTCCTGCTGCAGAACGCCCAAATCTTCCATTACTTCGACGGGAGTTACGCGGAGCCTGCTGAAGACACCGACGACGCCAGGGCTCGCTATTACAATGAGTCCCTAATGGCGTACGGAGTCCTCCTGCGGAATATGTCGCCGGCAGAGCAGTTAAACATTCGATCGTACAATACATCGGCCGCTCCAGCCCTCAACGCCTGGCGACACCTGACAGGAGTGTATCAGCCCAAGGACTCCGTCTCTTCGAGTCGACTGCTCCAGGAACTACTGGAAACCAAGATAACCGCAGGGGAGAAGGTCAATAACTATCTTAATCGCTGTCCAAGCCTTCGCGATCAAATCGTGAAGTTGGGAAGCACGATTTCAGAGGAAATCTTCGTCAACATCGTGCTTCAAGGGCTCGGCCCAGAGTGGCGGCCCTGCAAGGCGCTTCTCCGACAGCAGGGGGTCATCTCGGAGGCCGCCCTTTGCGCCGCCCTTCTCGTCGAACAGAGGGATATGGATCAGCAGCGACCAGCGCCACGACGAGAAAGAGAACGGCTCGCCTTCTACGCCGACAACAACGAAGAGCGACGGCCGAGGCGCCTCTACTGCAAAATCTGCAGAAATTTCGGGCATCTGGCAGATCGATGCAAATCCCGATCTCGCCCTCGCCAGACCAATCCGAGCAGCTGGTCCGGCCGACAAGACGCACGAGGCGACGTGCGTCCAGCCCAGGGGTATCAACCCCCGCCCGCGCGCAACCTGAACTCAACAGTTCAGCATCAGCAGCAGCAGCCATCATCGACTGCACCAGTTCGCAATGTCATGAGAAAAATAGGCCATGACAGGCGAGTCGCGTCGTCGCCGCGTGCGCTCACCTTCACCTGAGCCGGCACCGCACCCCATTGGCGCATTCAACAACAACAACCCATTCAGCCCGCGCCACGACTTCACCGACGACGACGACCAGGACTGGAACCTCCCAGTCCCGCTGCTTGAAAGTCCCCCGCACGTACCTGATATGCGGGTGGCGCCACTTGATTGGCTCTCGCGCGAGCAATTTCTGAAGTTCGACACTCCGCACATCGTCACGCCGCGACTGGCGCTGCTCGCACGTGACGACAACAAGCGCTACAACACCTGGTACCTGGACAGCTGCTGCGGCCAGCATATGGTGGGCTCCGAGCGTTACATATCAAACGCTGTCGCCACCCCTACGGTCACTTATGTCACTGTGGCCAACAATACTCGCCTGCGCGCAAGTGCGCAAGGCATCGTCGTGCTCAAAGCACGCGGAAGCCGCACGCACATCACACTCAACGATGTGCTAATCGTCCAGAACCTGCGCTTCAACCTTCTGTCCGCCGCACAACTCATGGACTGCGGCGTCGACCTCAGCACGGACCGCGCGAAGCGTGACATCCTGCTGCACTACAAATCGCGCAGCTTTCCCCGCCGACAGATCGGACGAGCGCACTCCGAAAATGGAGTGTATGTCCTGGATTTCGACATCCCCGACTGCAGCGGCGACTCGCACGAGTTAATCGATCTCGTGCCACTGCGCTTCGAGCACATCCACCGCAGGGATTGGAAGCACCCTGACGGCAGACCGTGGGTGCCGCATCACCCCCACCCATGCGAAACGGCACTTCACGACCCTGGCCCAGATGGAATCTGCAGGGATTGTCACACGCCAACGGCGTCAACCAGCGCAATTGCCGGCCGCGGACTCGCCGCCATCGCTGAAGCAGAGCGCCACGCGCCGCCAGAGGAAGGAATGTCTCAGCTCGAGCTTGAGGTCACTACTCGCCGCGTGTTTGGCGCTGACCAAAGTCACCACGCCGGACCACCCTCGCAGCGGCTCGAAGGCATCCTGCGCGGACAACGCCGCGGCACCTTGGACTCACGCGGAGTCGCGCGGCCCTACACCCTCAAAGAATTTCTGAGGTGTACCCCCACTGGCGCGATCCCACAGCAAAACTTACCGTGGAACAAGAGGAAGAACTGGCGCATCGCGAAGCAGAGGAGCTTCGCCAACAAAGCCTCGCCGAGGCACGCGGGACATTCGCTTGCGGCGCATGGGGAGCCGAAGCGGAAGAGAGTGCCTCCAATGAAGGGGGGTGGGGGAGCGCTGGAGGATGGGGAACAAGCGACACTGGCGGATGGGGAGACACCGGCGGAACCTGGGCGAGCGCAAGCGGCGGATGGGGCGTCGCGTCTGGCGGCGACGACAACGGCTGGGGAGCTTCCCGCGAAGAACAAAGGGGGGGAGAAGAAGAAACGGAAGCAGCTGAGACAACACCCGCAGTTGTTCCCCTCGGTCGTCCCCCGCGCCAAGCTCCACTTGCACTACCTCCCCCTGACAATCCGCTGCACCACGATCTGTGGGACACCAACGAACCATCAACCCCGCGTCGCACCGTCTACGGACCCGCTCCCGCTGGAACCATCCCTGGGACCAAGATTCCGTCC